GTGTCAGGCCCCCTGGCGCCGCCTCAAGGGCCGGCTCCCCCTCGCCGCCCTTCAAGGGCCGCCGGTGCTGCGGGGAGTCGCCGACGCATTTCCTAGCGGGCGGGTACCGGGTCCGTGGCGAGGAGCTCCGCTCCCCCCTGCCCGAGTGCCCCGGCACCCCGCCCCACAAGACCTTCCGCAAGCTGCGCCTCTTCGACACGCCGCACACGCCCAAGGTGAGGGGCCGGCTCGAAGTGGGACGGGCAGGAGCAGCCCGTGTACGCGCTGGGGCTGCGGGCACAGCTCCCCTTGGTTCGTTCGCTTGGAGGGCGTCTGGGCGCAGCACGTGTGCTCAGTGCGCGAGCACAGAGCGTGGCGCGGCCGGTGCACTGGCTCCCGGACGTGCGGCGTTGCGCCTCGGTTGCTCAAACCCCGGCACGCACAAGGGCTCCGACGCCCTTTGGTGTGGGGAAGATCTGCGGTACCCACCCGATTGTTTGCAATGTCTGCAGGCTGTGGGAGGCGATCATGAGGGGCCTGGCTTTATGGCTCCGCTTCAAGTGTAGTCAGTAGGCAGGCCATAGTCCAGATCCAGACTATCAGGTGCTTTTGGAGGCACTGTGAAATTATATTCACTTAACTTTATTGTAGTTAGGATTGTGAAAAATGTTTCTCGAGAGTCTGCACCTTGACCAAGAAATTTGGATCTTGGAGAAAAAATTGACTTTCCATGTACTACAGTAAGGATCCCTTCAAAATGTGGCCTAGAACAGTGTTTCTCAACCAATGGTATGAGTGCCCTTAGGGTACTCGAGAAGTCTGGGGGGTTACCTCAATACAACTGAATTTGGAGAGAACTGAAATCTTGTTTTAATTTTTACAGCACTTTATCATTTTTGTAACTTTTACACCCACAAATTTCATCCATGATTAAGTTATACTATGATTAAGTTGTTTAAAAAAATGTGTTGCAATGGTAGGAAAAAATGTTGAGTGCCTGAAAACTGTAGGTACTGGGGGGGGGGTTCATATAATTTTTCTTAAGGAGTACCATATTAACACTTGCCCCAGAGGAGATTACTAAAGGGCCCTTTACTGAAGAGCAATGGCATTGCCATGTACAAAACAAAGGTCAGGAGGTGGTGGGGTTAGGCATTAATTAGATTGGCATTACACTTCCATTTATTTCAAACTTCTTGATCTTGTGCATGGTCTAAACTTACTTATTACAGAGACTAGTTGGGTTATGTGATATCGTTTATTGGACCAACTTCTGTTGGTGAGAAATGATAGTTTTGTTTCCTTCTAAAAGTAAGAAGTGAAAAACAGAAAATGGTGCTTTCCAAACTCTTCCAGTGGCCTCTGGCACTTTATTTAAATACCTTCACCCATAAAGCTGATACAATTTAATAGGGAGTCTAAGCAATAATTTAAATGCCCTCATTCATTCCTCTGCCTGGGATTAAAAACAAAGTTCTAATTTGTGTTTCGTGTGCCACTGCCCTAAAGCAATCGTTACATAAGTTGGTTTCCTTGTAACAAAAGAAGTTGGCATCTTTTGCAAGTCCAGCCCACAAATTGTCCGTTAAGATTATGTAACAGATGAATCTGATCTGTTCAGTACTTTTTCATTCATATTTTAAAGTCGATCAGCCAGTTGTCTTGACGCTATATTGTGTTAACCATCAGAAGTTTTCCAGCCTCACTTTGTTGATCTTAAAATTGTAGTACAGTGTACAGTGAGATTTGTCAACTTGGTTTGATTATTTTGTCTTCATAGAGTATGTATGAGCTCTTAAATGGACCCTTGCTCATCCAACACTGGATTGGAAAAAAGTGCTAAGAACAACAGACATGTTTCCAGTACTACTGATCACTATACTGAATCCATGTTGTTGGGGTTTTTTTTGTTTGTTTAAGTGATACTATCAAGTTTTCAATTAAGGTTTTGTTAATTTTATTTGTTTGTTCTATTGGTTTCTCTGCTGCTTGATAGCACTATCCCCCTTGTTTCTATTGCTTTGTCGGTATTTGACCGATGAGCAAAACTTTGTTGGGGAAGAGGTAGAACTTGTAAACCGAGCTGCTGAAATATGATCGTTTCAAAATAATAAGCTGTTTCAGACTGTTCTAAAGCAGTTATTCCCCTGCCAAACTTCCAAACCAGCTCTTGCTGCTTGTGTATATGGAAATCTGAAAACCCAGTTTATTTGGAGACTTACTATATAAGTATGAAAATTGACAGTCTTTTAACTTTCTGTGCTGAAAACTAATTATTTTATTTATATATACGTGTGTGTGTGTGTGTGTGTGTGTGTGTGTGTAATTATAGGTAAATAGTCTTGATTTATTGATAAAAGAACTTTTGGAAAAATGCTTTTAATTTGGAAAATGTCCCTCCTAGATGAAATTTGAATATATAATGTATTTACATAGCATGAAAATGTGACTTAAGTGTCAGTGCTTGGTTTGTATGAAATATAACAGGAAACATGCCTAGTGGGTGACACATGTTGTTGAACCCTAATGTATCTAAAAACTTTGAGAGGGTATGTCCAGGCCACTTCTAGGGATTGCAAGTCATGATTGCCAGGACTTCACCCGGAGTTTCTTCTGCTATAATCTGTTCTCTGGTCTTTCATCTTCTAACTACGCATGTAAAAATGTGTTTAAAAATGTAACCATGTGACTGTTAAGTCATAGCGGTTACACACTTTGAGCTTTATACTCCAGAGCCAGCAGCAAAACCTCTATGGGAGTGTGGCTTGCAAGGGTTACGGCTTCACTGCAGGCTTTTCAGCTGTGTAACCTGCAAGGATGGGGCGGGGCCATGGGCCCACCATGGAGAGCCCCCTCTTCCAATTAACTGGAACACTTCCGGTTAACTGATTAACCATTTATGTCCCTACTAAATGGTTCATTCTGCGAAGTGCCTCTTGGAGTGGGGTTGTGCAGACAGCAGCAGGTCTCCATGCACTACCCATACCTGCAGCAATATTTCCTCTAATCTTTTCCATCCATGTGTGCTCCCCAAAGCATGTGGAAACGTGCACCAATCTAAACTATTATAAAAGGAGAGGTGTCAGTCACACCTTCTATCACAGAGAACATTTTAGAAAACTTGTGAAGTTTCTAGAAAATGCCAGAATGGCAAAGAGAATTGGGAGATGCCATGAGCGGTGGGGCTGGTAGTAAGTCCCTACCCACCATACTTTGCCTGTCCCTCCATCCTCTGAGCCAATGCCCCCGGGTCTTACCATGCCTGCTCTCCTCTGTGCCATTTGCTTGCCTGGCCCTCCTCGCTGCCGCATCCTCCCATCCCTGCTGCTGCTCAGTCCGCTGCACCGCAGCCGTGGGGCGGGGCTTGGCTAGTAGAAATAAAACCTAGCTCTGGGCCCTCTGCTAATGAGCTGGGTAGCATACGAATCTCTCCTGATCGGCCACACAAGTGCACAGCTCACAGGGAACACTGCCCTGTAGCTTCCATTGGCTTATTTCCAGCCAATAGGACCTGTGAGGATGGTGCTGAGGATACAGGCTGCACATGGTGGAGACTAGGGGTCTAAAATCCTGTTTGTTTAGTTAAACAACATTTAACTGGTTAACCACTTTAAACAGGATCCCGCAGATGGGGGCTGCCCTGGCTGGGTTGGATCACCCCCAACCTGTGATGCTGACAGGAGGTGGCTTCTGCCCAGCTGAGCCCACTACACCATGGGCCTGGTCAGACTGGAGTGCCCCCAGTGTCCGGCTAGCACTTGGTATTGGTCACATCCCTAGTGGAAATCCGGTGCCTCCTCTCCCCCTAAGGGGCATGCAGAGACAGGCTTGCTAACAGCAGCAAGTGGCTGATGGGAGCAGTGTAGCGGGGTCACAACAGGCCAGAGGCAAGCTTTTGCCAGGCTGTATTTAGAGATGTAAAATCCCATTTAATTGGTTAACCAGTTCAATGTAGTGTTGAACACTGGGCTTAACTGGTTAACTGAATAAAGGGGGGGGGGCTTTTCCAGGGTGGGGTAGCAGGCAGGGCTGGAGCAGCCCTCTACCCACAGGGGGCTGCAGCTGGTGCACTGGTTGTTCTGTAACCTGTTCACATCCCTACCACATGAGATGCTTTGTCAGCAGTGTTGTGGGGCCACGGTGGCATGCAGGCAGCCAGCCAGCCTGTTTGAGTGCCCTGCAGTGCCTCCAGGTGGAGCTGCCTCTGGGCCTGGGCCAGAGCCTGCACTTTGTACCCTCTTCTGCACCCCAAATCCCTGTCCCAGGTCAGAATCTCTTCCTGTCCCCAGACTCCTTTCCAGATCCTCGTGCTCCCTCCTGCACCCCAGTCCTTTGCCTGGAGCTCCCTCCTGTACCCTAAATCAACACCGCTTCGACTGCAAAAGTCTTGGAGTGGCCTGCAAAAATTGCCTACTCATGTTTCTTCCTTCCAAAATGGGCTTGATGACTATATTTCACTAGTAGCATGTCCTCACCTTCCAGAAATAGGATTGGGATTATGGAGAGAGATTGTTTTAATTTCAGTTTCAGTAGGTGATCTTTCTCCACTGCGAAAACTTTGTTTGAAGTAAATTGTTAGAGTATCTGTGCAAGATTAATTTTTCAATTTTAGAATATTGACACACCCATATATTTTGTGTGTATCTCTAGTACCCCATCATAGATTTGAACATGAGCACTGGTAATCTTTTCTTTATGTGGACTAACTTTTTTTAAAGAAGGTAAAAGAGTATGAGACTTTATAGGCAAATCATAAGAAGGCTTTATTGTGTTGCCGTGTACCCAAGCCAATAATGTGTGGTAATGTAACTGCACGTCTAAACTACATTCCTTTTTCGAAAGAGGAATGTAAATAAGGCAAATCAAAAGTGCAAATGAAGCGTGGATTTAAGTATCTCACGCTTTGTTTGCATATTCACGTGCAAGCGCTTTTTCGAAAAAGGGTTTTCAAAAGAACCCCGTCTAGACTGCGCTTTCACTTTCGAAAAACCCTTTTTCGAAAAAGAGCTGGCACATGAATATGCAAATGAAGCGCAGGATATTTAAATCCACGCTTCATTTGCACTTCTGATTTGCCCCATTTACATTCCTCTTTCGAAAGAGGAATGTAGTCTAGACATAGCCTTAGAGTTCAGTGGTTCAGCGTGTTTGTTTAGTCATGCTTAATGTTTTTCTACTGAAAGAGAATCATGTTTCACTCTTAGGTATGGCCCTATCCGAACTAAAAAGTAGTTGCTTTTTTTCATCAGACTTAAACACTAAGTTTAAGTCTGATTGTTAGTACTAATGCTTAAGAATTCATAACTAAATATTTAACACTAGCAGCCCTTATTCTAATTTTGTGCTGATTAAGTTGTCATTAGAATGATTTTCTGGAAAACAGTCAAATGTGCCCAGTTATGAGTGTTTAAAGTACTGATTAGCTTTTTTGTTGGTAGAGTTTGCTTTCCAAAGCTCAAGGAATGGGCTCCAGCTCAGTTAAACTCCGGGTAGGATCCCTCTTCATGAATGTGGGGAAGTCAGAAAAACACGATGCTGTTATGAGACGGACGCCTCACGTGAACATTAATCCCTTTACTCCAGACTCGCTGTTCCTTCAGACTTCAGCTGGACAGTGTCGTAGGAGAAAGAGAACTCACTGGAATGAGTGAGTAACTGATACATCTTTATCAAGCTTATTTTAAATCATTTTTAGTTGTAAAAAAGTATTGTAGTGCAAGTTTCCTGGGAAATGTTTTGTTAATTATTACCCTAAAATCAACAAATGCGAAATGTACACTCTGGTTTTAATAGCAATAAGTATCTTCAAAGTGAATAACACCCAGAAATATATTTTCTGTGTGTGGTGGGGTACAGTCGGCTACAGGATCATAATTTGCAGCGAGGTTTTTATAATGTGGAAGATAATATTGGTTGAGACTGCTATGTGCACTTGGAGGTGAATTATCATATGAACCATAGTGGACTTTAGTTGGAAATTGGAAACCAGCATCTGAGTGATGAGTCAGGTAGTTATCCATGTTATGTCAACACTATTTGATTCTGTTAGATGGGATCCAGACATGGGAAACAATAGGAAAAAATGCACAAGAGAGCAGAATTTTGTAGGTAGGCATTACCTTGTATGATTTCACATTCTTGACTTCGAGTTTGATTTCCCTTGTGTAAATATTGGAACTCTTATTTTCTGGCTCTTGATAGTCTTATATTCACTTATTGAAAAAAGTAGTTTATTATGACTGTAACTTTCAGCTCTTGTGGGGAGGACATGGAAGCAAGTGATGGCGAACTTGAAGATGAAACTATCAGACCTGCAAAGGTAACAGTTATAGTTTTGTGTTTCATTAATACAGGTTGGACCTCCCTTGTCTGGCACCCTTGGGACCTGATTGGTCCCAAATTAGGGGATTTGCCAGACCAGGGGAGGTCTCTACCCTCCTGGCCTGTGCTAAACTGCTGCTGCCTGCATGTGGTGCTGTTTCTCCTCTGTCTCCCCCTTTCCCCTGCTTCCCAGCTTGCCTTGCTGCTTCCAGGTTGCTCCCAGGGCTGGAGTTCTCTAGCTCACATTGGCTGCCACCGGAGCTCCCTGGCTGCCTTGCTGTTGTGGCCAGATTTTCTCACTGTGTTGCCTGGCTGGCTCCCAGCTGAGTCTCTGGCCCCCCCCTCTATTGCACTCCTGCTCCACTGCCAGACCTGAAATCTGTAGTCCAGGCAGATTTGTGGTTTTGCTGGACCGCAGATGTTGCCAGGCAAGAGTCCCAGTTAAGGGAGGTACAACCTGTAGTATGTTTGCAAACCTAAGTCTTTCCCTCTTTAATTACTGCAGCGGATCACAATAACAGAAAGTAATATGAAGTCACGGTATGAAACAGAATTTCATGAATTAGAGAAGATTGGGTCTGGAGAATTTGGTTCGGTGTTTAAATGTGTAAAGAGGCTTGATGGCTGTATCTATGCTATAAAACGGTCCAAGAAGCCCTTAGCTGGCTCAGTTGATGAGTGAGTATGTGTTTTTTTTTTTTTAAACTAAAAGATAAATACAAATTGCTTTTTAATTTATTATGAGGTATTCCTGTGTACGCATTAAAATACTTCTAAATTAGAACAAGTTTGCAAGTGTTTGTATGTTTACCAACTAACACTTTAAAATAAAAATCAAACTAATTTTTCATCAGTAAGTCTTTCTACACAAACGCTACCATAATTTTTGTCTTAACTCTTCTTTTGGTTAAAATTTAAAAGGGAGCCAGATGAAGGGATACACAATTGTATCAGGAGCATTTTCTGAAAATGTTCAATGACGGGCTTGAGAAATGTCAACAATGCTTTGAAAACATAGGCTGAAAGAAGGAGCTACAAATTCACTTTCTAGTTTCTGGTGGTGAAGGCTCAGTTGTTCCTGAAATGGAGCCAAAAGCTTGTATTAATGTTTTCCCAGTGGTTAATGTTTTTATAGTACAATATAAGTATACTATTTTAATACTTAAATATTCAATCATTGATATCAATACAAATGCAGCTTCAGATATCTGTAAATTGAAATGAAATCTGTAAATTCAGTAAAAGACATCAGCTTTATTTTTATAATGGCAAAGTGAGTTACTTGTGGAAAAGAAGAGAGTGCTGTTAGGTTGGTTGGTTGATGACAAAGCCAGTATTAACAGATGCATACCTGTTTTTTCAGTCTTAGTGTTAACATGGCTACTGCTTTAATGACATGTGACTACTATATAAAGATCATAGGCACTCCCCGAGTCACATCCAGCTTACATTCACTCACCTGTAGCTTCAGGCAGGGACATCCTTATGATTTATGGGGCCCTATGTAGTACTATTAAACTGGTGCCCCAATTAGGGATGTAAGTGACTAATCAACTCATCTGACTATCCAATAAGCAAAGTTTATTGGATAGTCGACACACTAGTCGACTAATCCAGGGGTGGGCAATAATTTTGGCCAGGGGCCACCCTGGAAAGGTCAGGCCCAGGATGATTCTGGGCTACCCCTCACCCCCAGGCCAATCAGGGCTTGGGAGCAGGGGAGCATGCAAAGCCTCCTCCCAACCTTACCCCCCTCTCAGCCAGGAGTGCACAGCACTTCTGTGTTCCCCCTGCCCCCAGGCCAATCAGGGGCTGGGGAACTGTGCAAAGCGTCCTTCGCTCTGCGTGAGCATACAACACCTTGAAATGCAGCATGCTCCTCACAGGGAGGGGGGAGGAAACTTTGAGCGGCCCCCAGGCCAATCAGGGGCTGGGGAACTGTGCAAAGCGTCCTTCGCTCTGCGTGAGCATACAACACCTTGAAATGCAGCATGCTCCTCACAGGGAGGGGGGAGGAAACTTTGAGCGGCCCCCAGGCCAATCCGGTTTTGGGGGCGGGGGAACACATGATGTCTCCTCCCACCCCCAGGCCGTAATTGCCCTTTTGCCCACCCCTGGATTAGTCAGTGGAGGAGCCAGCTTAAAAATGGGTTCCCCCTCAGCTCTGTGGAAGGGGCGCAGTGGCGGCATTCCAACATTTCAAAAGCAGAATGCTGTGCTAGTCCTTATCAATTAATCGAATAGTCAATGGAAATCTCATCAACTATTTGAATTGTTACTTAATTAACATTTAACATCCTTAGTCCCAACAGCAGCCAGGGTGGGTGACAGTGTTTTAGAGATGGGATTTTTATAATCTTCAACATGCTAGTGAGATATATTTAAAGCAAATTTTAAACTAAGGTCCTGTAGACCAACATGTAATAAAGTCAGAAACTAACAGTAGATACCTGAGGTTGGCAAATACCTGTTAAATGGCTTCATTACCACTTGAATGGATCTTTCATGCTTCAGTGATCTGCTGATAGGTCTGGCAGGGTTTTTTGCTCTTTGGAGAAAGCAGAACAACAGAACAGGGATAGGAAGAGGTGGGAGGACATTAAAGACCTAGTGGTACCCCAAATTTTTGGATGATATGCAGAATATGCAGCTGTGTATATGGGTAAAGACAGTCCTGACCTCAGGGGAGCAGGTAAGAGGCACAGGTACCAGTGCTGGCTGGAGGAGCGGGGGCCATCACGCAATCGTCAGCTGGAGAGAAGCAGCGCTTTGAGAAGGAGACTGCTGCTTCTCTCTGGCTGTGTGGCTGCCCCCTGCTGCTCTGGAGTCTTTTGGCCCACACTCATGCCATTTACCACCTCCTGGTGAACCAGGGCTGGCCGCAGGAGCTGACACAGAGCCCGGTTGGGTGGCAGAGGATGCCCAGAAGGTCCCTTTCAGAATCTTCACCTACTTTCTCCTCCAATTAAACCTGCCCTTCCCCAAGCAGCAGCATTAAAGGTTAAATTAAAAAAAATCCTATTTCTACTATTTTTAATTGCAAATATTAAAGCTACATAGTGGGTTAATCAGGTTCCCCCAGGCTAGCCCCCAAAAGTCTAACTACCAATTATAGCATTGTTTCGAAGGGAAAATGCATTCAGAGTTCCAAGATTATAACTAAACTTTTTTTTTTTTTTTTTAAATAACTAGGCAGAATGCTTTAAGAGAAGTCTATGCACACGCAGTTTTGGGGCAGCATTCTCATGTAGTCAGATACTACTCTGCCTGGGCTGAGGATGATCACATGCTTATACAGAATGAGTATTGTAATGGTAAGAAAAATCTGTTACCGCTTTCCTTGCTATGAACTATAGGTCTTCTAAAGTTGCATGTGGGACAAAGTAGGTAGATGTTTATTGGGCATTAGTTTGGTATGGATGGCATTGTTTGGTTGTAAGAGATGCTCTTTTTCTTAATGTGGAAGAGATGGAATTATATGTTTGTGCCTAAACTAAAGAAAGTCCCTTTTCCCCATTAATATTTCAATCACTCTTGGTTTAAGGGGCAGATGAAAAACAAGTATGTTGTGGCTTTTCCTCCCACTCTTTTTCCCCCCTTCCTCCATCTTTCACCTTTTTTTAATTGAATAGCCTTGATCAGGATCAGTTAGGTATAAATCTCACATTTGAAATGACTTTCATTTCAATGAATTGTTCACATTGCCCTTATCAGATGATCTCTTGTATAATATTTTAGCTGCCAGAGAAATTGCAACTTTGGCATCTAATTTTATAAAACAATCTTACAAATTCTGAACTTTCTGTATTGCTTTTCATGTTAATATTGGAAAATGTTGAATTGTAGATAAAGATTTGAGGTATAGTGAATTGTTTTGGGACCATGAGCAATGTTCCCTCTAACTTTTTTCATCTCTGGGTGGATATTTTTCCATCCATGTGCAGACTAAATTTTTTTTTATGTGCACCAAGGCATGTGCCAATGTACATTACAAATAGAAACAAAAACCTAGCTCTAGGCGCTCTACTAATCGTCTGGGTGGCATTTAAATCTTCTGAGTGGCCACACAAGCACACAGCTTAGAGGGAACACTGACCATGAATAAATCACTTAATTGCCGTCTCCCATTTTATAGATTGGCTAGGGGAGAAAATACCCTTATCAACTGACATAATGGTTTAAAAGGTGCTGCAAAGTGTATTAATTTTCCATTTACAACAGTGAATAGTTGTAATAGGAATAGTTCTTTTATTATTTGGCTTAGTGCCAAAAGCTGAAGTATTCCAACTCATCTGATGGAGTGGGTTTTACCAAGAAAACACATGATCCTATATATTTATTTATTTATTTATAAGAAGCCACAGAACGACTCGTTTTTAAAGTTACAGACAAACGTAGCTACTGCTATGAGAGTTTTTACTAAACGTGAAAGAGACAACTTAAAAACTTTGGTAAGACACCACAGAACTTTCCTGATAAAGTCCTTTAGATAATCTATTTTTGTATGTTATAAACTGACTCCATTTTTTTTTAATTGGACAGTTGTCCAAGAAAGCACATGCTTAGTTCTCCTTGTTTGAATCTAATACTGTTCCTCTGGTTTGTCTGACCAGCACAGACTAAATCTATATATTTATAGTTTAGTTAGCCTTTTGGTTTTCTTTTTTGCATATCACTATTACCCTCTCTGTAGCCTATGTTCTAATGTAGGCTTTCAATACCAATAATAACTTGGCTATGACTTGCCAAACTCTAATGCTATGGAAATGTGACATGGCCACCAATTCGTGATTGTTTGGAATAGTTTCCTCTCACTTGGGATCATATGGCAATTGCATCTATTGCTTATATTACATTACTTTACATGTATTTTAACATAGAATCTGGTAATAAGAAAAAAGAGGTGTAGCAACGGCCATCTAGCTCTTTCTAGAACATCAGCAGTGCTCAGTGAACTTATAAACCACATTTTGGGAATCTGTATGGGAAACATTTTTTTTGCATAAAACACTTGTGAAAGAAGGTGGCTGACATATTTTCAATTTGTTTTAGGTGGCAGTTTAGCTGATGCCATAAGTGAAAACTATAGAAATATGCGCTATTTTACTGAACCAGAGTTGAAAGATCTACTGCTGCAGGTAGCTCGTGGCTTAAAATATATTCATTCAATGTCACTGGTACATATGGATATAAAGCCTAGTAAGTATATAAACTACTGTACTCTGAAGTTATATTTACAGTTTCTTTAGATGGTTTAGTCTGTCACAAAAATAAGCAGTCAGCCATCCCTTATAACTGTAACTTCTTTGTTGTGTTGGTGTTCAGACCAACAGTGATCAATTTTAAAATCGTCTAGTATAAATAAAATGGTTTAAGTTTATCTTGCAACATTTGTGTAAGACTAAGTTTTCTGATTTGCCAAAAAACTGGCTTCTGCCCCATGAGAGGGTTTCTACTCTCTCTCTCTCTCTCTCTCTCTCTCTCTCTGGTTTGTTTTAGTCCAGGAAATAGTATATAGTGAAACCAGTTAATTTATAAATGTACATTTGGATTTGTGTTCCTTATCGTTCTTCTTTCCAGGTAATATCTTCATATCTAGGACATCAGTTCCAAGTACGACATCAGAAGAAGGTGATGATGATGACTGGTCTTCTGACAAAGTTGTATTTAAAATAGGTAGGGAAAATGCTGCACACTTACAGATCAGAAGATATATTTTTCAGAAACCAAGTGAATTATGTAACTGTTCCCCTTACCTATTTCTTGTAGGTGATCTTGGTCATGTAACTAGAATATCGAGTCCACAAGTAGAGGAAGGAGATAGTCGTTTTCTCGCAAATGAAGTTTTACAAGAGGTAATGGCATTGTTTTGCTAACTAAAGCTAAAATAGATTTTAAAATCTGCATGATGTCTTTATAGGTACTTTTTTATGTAACCACTTCCTCTCTCAAGTTGAAATATCTATTTTAGTTTTGTAAAAAGAGAGGTTTTTTCCCTAACTGGCTCACCTTTTGGAACATGAAAGTACTTTGGAGGTACAGGCAGTCCCTGGGTTACGTACAAGATAGGGACTGTAGGTTTGTTCTTAAGTTGAATCTGTATGTAAGTCGGAACTGGCGTCCAGATTCAGCTGCTGCTGAAACTGACCAGCGGCTGACTACAGGAAGCCCGAGGCAGAGTTGCTCTGCCCCGGGCTT